TCCCTGCTAACGACTAGCTAGTAGACCGCACGACCGCACATACCTGGACCAGAAAGGACTGGCGCTTCCGTGGTGCAAATCGTTCCACACACCGTACCTGGACCAGAAAGGACTGGCGCTTCCGTGGTGCAAATCGTGCCATACGCCGTTCCCCTCCCGTAAGATCCTGGAAATCATAGAACACATTTTCTTGCAGTGTCCCGGGGCAGTCCTTACATGGCGATGGTGGGACAGGATCTGGAGTCTTTTGGACACTGGATCTGCCTGGCCATGGGATTGAAGGGCGCTACTATGTGAGGCATGGGCCTCCCCCTCGGTCAGTACCTTTGAAAACGATATGTTTAAGATAGGGAGGAGAGCTGTTATGTGCACCCTCTGGAGGAAACGCTGTATACATGCGATGGAGGGGGTCCGAATAGCTGGGGAAGAGACGACGGGCATGATAAAACAATGCATACATCCAGAACTCATGGTACAATGGCAGAAAGTTAAAAACCAATTGATCTGTTTTTCATTCAAACAAGGATATAGGACAAACAATCCAACAATTCTCAGGGGACTGGCTGGGCATTGTGTGAACGGGGGCCGGATCGCCTTCATCAAATGCGATGGCGGTCACGCCCAGGACGGCAACCAGGGCACCCAGGATTGCAATCAAGGGATGGTCAAAAGAGACTTGTGTATGCGATGGTGGTCACGCCCAGAATGGGGGCCGGATCGCCTTCAGAGCTTGGACAACTGTGGACCAGGGGATCCCGCTACGGGCACCTTCAGATTTTCCAGACCCCTTCCCACCCCATCAGCTGGATATCGTGGACATGCAATGGTATGGAGCAGAGTAAGTAGGACATCAGCTAGTGGATTGCACTTTCGGGGCTCGGCACCAGCCATTACAGCACCAGTCCCAGTTCCCTTCAGGACAATACAAAACTTGTCGACAAGGTACTGTTTTCACAGAGGCTCGGCGTACCTGAGCCAAGAGGGGTTCTGGGGGCGTGCGCTACAATTCTGAGCACCCCAACTTTGGTGATTTTCTCTCTCTCTCTCTCTCTCTCTCTCTCTCTCTCTCTCTCTCTCTCTCTGCTTTACGCATTGTACAACCACTTAGAATTTTCAAGCATGTGCTGCATGCATGACTCATGCACAGCGTGGTGCGAAGTCGAACTGGTCGATGAAGTACATCCGACTTCCGATCGTGCTGCTCATTGTGTCTTGCCAGTGCGTCTTGTAGTAGATCAATGGGTTATCGTCGGCCACCCAAGCGAACCTACGACGCCCAAGCACGAAGTGTCGCCAGCATTTGCGTACCGTGACGAAGGCCGGCAACTCCTCCCTTGCATCATCAAGCGAGTTGATGGGGTCACCTTTTGGCTGAAGTATTCAACCGGGAGCCAGTCTACTCTCTCTCTCTCTCTCTCTCTCTCTCTCTCTCTCTCTCTCTCTCTCTCTCTTCCCAGTTTGTTCGGCCTGATAACAAGCTTGTCGACAAGGTACTGTTCACAATGGCTCAGCCTACCTGAGCCAAGAGGAGTACCATGGGCATGAGCTGAATTCTGAGTACCCCGATTTCGCCAATCTTTTAACTCTCACTAGATGACCTGTTGTGGCTTCGCTCAGAAGAAAACAGGAGGGGATTGCCAATGAAGAAGAATGGTTTCTTTTCCCTCATTAGCGGAGTTGATTACTTTGCTGTTTGGGATTTTGAGAGGGAAGTTGTCGTTTGTGGTGCAGAAGAAGTTTCCCTACTGCAAGCACAGAAAATAAAAACCCTATGATATGATACTGCCCAAGTAAGTTACTTCGCATAGGAACCCTTGCCAGGAATAGGTAATAAACCCCCAACACTCCTCTGTCTTATTCCCGCGTGTTCGACTTTGTGGATACCGGTGTGTCCGCGGCGATTCAACTCCACGCACACACACTTCAACATCCATACCAGTGCCGAAGGGACTCTTCATCATATACTTAAGTCGGTAGTCCTCTCCACTGGAGGAGATAGTGTTGGGTTTCTGCTGTGTGAGGAGATCCCATTCCAAGAAGAAGGTCCAGACTCTAGACCCTCAAGGACATTTACGCAAAATGTGCACTTAAGTTATGCCGTGGAGGAGATTCGTGTTAGCTTTCTGATTGACATCGCTTTGCTCGTGTGGTTTGGCCATTTTGGCTTTGCCCAGTACAAACGTGTACGCACCTTGTTATGCGTTCTGCGGCCTGTTCAGGCTGTACGTGAAAGCATTTCCCACAAATTGTGCGATTTGTTAGTACTGTTTCCCGAACAATCACGTGATGGCGCCACGAGCTTTTCGAGTTTAGACATGGAGAAACTTCACTCTGAGACGGAGACGGAAAGAGCGCAGGACGGGCATCACGGGCCAGTCAAATTGGAATTCCTCCAATCTGGGTTGACCTTCGCAGAAGCCCTTTGTGAAGCGGTGCACCCTCTCTTGCCAGACCCTCAGGTGTCGATAAGAGGGGAGGCGCCATCACCTGATGTCATCGCTCGAGGATGGCAGGCCCAAGGAGGATGGTGGGAAGAAAACTAGCATGGCCAACGAGGCAGCAGAGCAGCAAATCGTCAGGAGGGGAGCCGCGTCGTGACGAAGCTCTGGATCGTGGACAGGAATAAAATTTCTGCTCTGCCGAACGAAGGCCCTGCCTTCGCATTTGTTTGTTTCTTGGAGATCCGTCAGCTCTGCGCCTCTTTCTTATTTACAAAGGGCCCAGTCAGTCTCGTATCCGATCTTGGATTCATCTAGACAGTCAGTGGAGAGTGATGTTGCAGGCTTTCACGTGTTTCTTGACTGAGATACGAACATGGTCCGGTCCGACCAAATCGAGTCTTAGATTGGAATCTAGATCGTGTTGATTGTTCGAGACCTCACTCATGAACAAGCGAAACTCCTCGACAAAGGGGTATTTTCTTCAGCATCAAAGACAAAATCTGGCTATATGCTGGAACCTCCGACCGAGTGACGCAAGCAAAATAATGATAATGAATGCGTCGGTGCGGACAATCAGCAGGGAAGTCATGTGTTGATACATGCACTCCGCCCCTCAACGACTACACGCCCGACATCCCTGCTTGGGATGATGATATAGTCTGAACTTCGTGGCGTTGAATATTTTCAGAAATCTGCAGCTGGCAGACGTGAGGGGATGACGATGGATGCTTCGAGGACGGTTCGTGCATTGGTTCAGGAAGATGAAATCGCTGCCGGATTTGAGATTCGTACACGTACATGACAACCCAGACCGTGGTCTTGTGGGGGACCGCGTACGACCCGGGTTTCAGGTTCGTTACATTAGCAATTTTAGTGGTGCAGGATCCTCCTAAGGCCGTGGCATCGTGGACCTTTTTTTTTTTCTTTCCCCCCCCCCCCCC